TATGGGTTGCGTGATGTGCATGCAGGCCGCTGCCATGGCCGAATTCCACAGGATAGCTAGCGAACTTGCCCAACTGAAAGTCGAGCACTTGGTTTGCGAGGACAAGATCCATTCATTGCAGGATGATGTGAAGAGGGTCGAACGACACGAGCTTTGTGTGGCCGAACTGGAGGGCGAGCTTAAAGTTATTCGACTCGAGGAAGCGAAGTTGTTGGCTCAGATTGTAGATGCTACGAGGCGTTTGGCCGTGTCCGACGAGAAATTGTCTGTGGTCGGTTAGAAACTTGCTGCCGCTGAACTGGAAAAGGATGCTGCCTTTGCAAGGGGTCGGGATGCCGGATTGCAAGAATACAAGAAGACCTAATCTTTCATGGTCGACATGGACATGAACGGGGCCTTGAGTCTGAACTGGGCGATTCGAGCGATGGAGTCGGGAGGCAAGGGTTTGGAGGAGCTCAAGGCGATCAGGGACATCAAATTTAAACGGCTCGGACTCCCTGATGATATGAAGTCGGTAAAGCTGCTGGTTGACGAGGACGAACGGACGTTTGATAGCGAACGGAAAACCACTCGTCCTTCAAAATCCATTGTAGATACGACCGGAGCCAGTCCGGACGACGGTCATCGCGCCGAGGAAACCGGCAACAACGGAGAAGGAATGGGCCCCGCACAGAGCACTGCGTCCTAAAAAATGTGGCTTTTGTTTTTTCTTTCGAGTATGAATGCTTTGGTGGTTGATTTGGACAACTTGTTTTGAATGTTTGTTTTTAGCTTAGACCCGGGGATGGTTTATTCCCTGTAGGGTCGCGGCTTTCTGCTGATCTTCATCTTTATTTTTCTGGATGATGTTATTTTGAACGGCTTCTAATCCCTTTATGTTGCATCTTCGATTCTTCTTGTTGTGCTCCTTTCTCTTGGTTTGTTTTCGAATTGTCGTGCAATCTTTTCTTATTTGAGATGTAATGATTTTGGACCGGATACTCATGGGTCATTCGATAATTTACCCTTCTTTGGGCTGTTTAGTTTTTTACCGGACGACCTTAAGTGGTCCGATTGTTACCCTTCTTGGGGTCATTTCATTTTTGACCGGACAACCTTAATTGGTCTGGTACCGGACGACCTTAAGTGGTCCTTCCTCTAGCGCCACCTTTGTGCGGGGTATAGACCGAACGAATGGTAACAAGGAAAAACACGTGACAAATTCGTATGCACGAGGAAAAGATGAATCAGACGCATCCGGGATTGGACCACCGTCGAACGGGTGGGAGTAAGCGAGCGAGATCTGATCTAATCATTACCCAAAAACAACCGTACTGTGCGCATTAAATGCGAAGATATTCAAAAATCCCCTATCCGACGGCGAGGGAAAAATGGGGACGCGTGGCACGATCTGGATGGATCACTGATATTGGAATTAGATTGTCAAGTACAATTAGCATTTAATGTGGAATGACTAATATCTAAAAATATCCTGTAAAAGAAAATGTAAAAATCTCTAAGAGGGAGATGTAAAAGTACCTAAACTTCCTATATAAGGGAGGGGAGGACAACATTAAAGGCAATGAGTAAATGCTCTCATTAATTACTCTATAAGTCACGGATAGCTCGAGCATTCGGATCGATAAGCTAGACCGAATTACACATACAAACTCTATTCGTGCAGACCGAACAGAGCACACACCACAGTGTGCAGTTCGAACACATTGTTGGTCATTTTAGACATCAACAGTTACAATGAGAAGATGATTAGTAATTTGTAAAGTATTCATCTCACAAAATAATTATACTAATTTATAATTTATAATAATTTATAATTTATAATTCATAATAATTATACTTTATATTATTATACTAATTATAATTTATACTATACTAATTTATAATTATACTAATTATACTAATTATAATAAATATATATTATACTAATTATACTAATTATAAACTATACTAATATAATTTGAATTAAAAAGCGGTCGGGCCGGCCGGAACCGGCCGCACTGCCCATGTACGACCGGCAATTGCAACCACACTAGGTCCGGCCGACCACACTTTTCGGTCAGGAAACACCCTGAAAGGTCAAGACGACCGGACCGAAGCCGGCCGCATTCAATTTTTTTTTCAGAATTTTTGAAAGTAAAGTGTTTTAGTTTTGGATAGATTTTTTTTTAAGGTAATATGAAAGTTTGTAGAATGTGGGCCCCAAACATTTGATAAATCAATATAATATTAATGGAAATTTACATATGTAGGGTCATGTAAGATATATTTACACATCTAAGTAGGAAAGAAGGTTTAATCAAAAAGAAATTTGTATGTGATGTTTTTTTTACATCTACGAAATTATTTTTCTCTCACTTAATGATTGGTTTCTCTCTCCATAAATGGAGCACACAATCAATTTTCTCACCTTTCTCTTTCTCTCTCCATAAATCATGAGAACAATCAATTTTCCCCAATGCCGCAAAGAAAATGGGGTTTGAAAAAAAAAAAGAAAAAATTAACAAATATGATACTTAGAATTACTCGAATTCATAAATTGAAACAGAATTGTCTGTTCTTCCACATCTTGAATTCCAAAAAAAATCATTCATCGTACTTTAAATAAATAAAGCTCCGATTGGGGTTGGAAAAGAACAAATCGTTCTTCAAGAAATCTCATATGTTCAGATATAATGTATATATACATCAAATAAATATAATCTGATAGTTCTCTAACATTAACTGTATAGTTATACAAAAGATAAACAACATATTAACAACACTGAAAAATTATTAACCGTATAGTTATACAAAAGATAAACAACATATAAACAACCGTATAGTTAATACACAATTTTAAATGACTGAAAAATCTAAAACAATGTAGTTATACATAAATAAACAATATATGTCTACTTTACATGACATCGCCTTTATCAGTTGAGATGGTGCCTCAACGCCAACTGATTGGTCTTCTTCGTCTTCATCAACGAAGACACTTGTCGATAATTTGAAGATTCAAGCATCTTGCTTTTACCCTTGTTCGCAATATTTCTTTTCTTCTTCCTGGTGTCTA